GCAGAAGAACACGGAGAGCGCGGCCAGGCCGCGCAGCTCGGTGATCACGTCCGCCCACAGCCGCCGCGGACGAAGACGGTCCTCGGCAGGTGGGTCCACGCGTAGATGACGCGCGGGATGGCGAAGGCCGCGCGCGCGCGAGCATCGTGGCCCACGCCCAGTGCCCCATGACGACCTCGACCAGCGCGGGCGAGGCCACCTCCTCCAGGGTGAGGGCCTCGGCAGCGAGCACCAGGTCCTTCAGCTTCTCGTCCTTCACGCGAGACCTCAGGGAGACCGGGTCGATGGTGACTCCTAGCTGTTCGGGAAGACCGACTCCTTGGCTCTCCTTGTGCACTGCCAGACCGCGCGATGTCACCGCGCTCCTCGCCCGACCTGCCACTTCGTCGAGCCCCGGGTCGTCCGATCCTTCGCCGATCAGATCTCCGCCATAGTCGTCGACGTAGAGCCAGTACAAAAGCTGGTGTTCGGCGAAGCTCGGGGCGGGGCTGCCGTGCTCCACGCGGCCCGCCCCCTCGGACCCTAGGTCGTCGAAGCAGTCCATCAGCGCGGTGCGCGCGAGGAAGACCGCCCAACTCCAGCCCATGGGGGCGACCGCGCAGGCGATTCCGACGGCCCCCCCTGGCGGCCGCGGCAGCGATGCGCCTCGCTGCTGTGCGAACTCTCAGAGGGGGCACGGATCCACCCCATCCAAAACAAAGTAGGAGTACAGCTCGGGAATCTTCTGCAGCCTGTAGAACATCACTGGCACGCCCCCTTGGAACGTCAGGAACTGCTGGCCCCCCAGGATGTCGGGCCCGAGGTCGATCTCCGCGAGCGCCGCAGGCGAGCCCAGCGAGACCCAGGGATGGTCTCTGAAGTGCAGGTTGACTCGGCTGGCATCCCACACCAACCGAGACAACACCTCCCGCTTTGCCTTTTCCTGCGACACCTTCTTGACCACGGTGAAGACTGACAGCTTCTCGCGCGCGTCGTCCACGTAGGTGGGCATGTTCGATTCCCACATATTCAGCGCGAGCTCCAGCCTGGTCTGCCCGTGCTTGAGCTCCGGCGCCTCGTACGGTATGATCTTGTTGTAGGCTTGCATGTCGATCTCGCCCTCCGACTTCAACATCAGCCTCCCGGGCTCTTCGAGGTAGGCCTTCGCCGTGACAACCAGCTTCTTCGCGCTGACCCCTCGGGGCCCCTTCGGAGGCATATCGACTTCGTTGACCCGCAGCGGACACAGGGCACCCCTCTGCAGTCGCTCCCCCCCTTCCCTCTCCGAGGCAGAGCCGCTCCCATAGCCAACTGGAAGCTCCTCGCCAAAGCAGCGCAAAACCGCTCTGCCGTCGTCGGTGGATCCCCAGGTCGCTCTCCGACTCTGCTCGTTCCATATCCTCCTGACGATCTCCTTCTGCAAAAACGAGGCCTGGCTCCAGGGGCACTCCGTCGCCACCTTGGTCCAGTCCTTCAGCTCCTTGAGGTGGCTTCGGCTCAGACTCGGGAGAGCAGCAACGGTCCGACACGACCTGAGCCACGTGACCCGCAGCTTGCCCTCGCTCATCCCCCCGCCGATAGCTCCGCCCCAACTCGCCGGCGCATAAGGCAACGTTCCAAGCAGGTCTCGATGTTGCCGAGGTCGCCCCGAACCAAGCCCGGGGGGCCCCCTGCCCTGGTCCCCGCCTGACATCTAAACGACGAACTGGTGCGCGACCTGGCCGAGAGGGCACGTGCAAAAAAGCCCTCCCGTCGTCAAAGTCGAAACTGTTGAGCACAGGCTCTGGTTCGCGGTCGCTCAAGTGGGCGGACAACGCTGAGCCCTCGAGACCAAGAGCACGCGCAGAGCTGCCAACCACAGACGATGAAGTAGAACACCAAGTGCTCCAGGTAGAAAGGTCGATGACGAGCACGCCCAACAAGAGCACCACGAAGAGAGTCCTGACGAGAGAGGACCTCGACCGATGCACGGGTGGTTTGTCGGCTTTGAACCGCCCCCCCACCAAGGGGCGGCTAGACCTTCACTCGTCCTTCGCGGCAGACTCCGAGACTGACCCCAAGTGCTTCTGGAAGAGCGCCTCCCTCTTGAGCTTCTCGGTCACCTCGTCGTCCGCCGCGTCGATGTCGTTCTCGGAGCGGTCGAGACGGGAGTACTGCTCAGCCAGCGCCCAGTCGACGTTGCTCCGCCAATTGGCCCCCGTCTGATTCTATGGGCGCAGCCAGTCCTCGCGCCGCTGCACCTTGTCGAACGCCTCGTCAGGCTGTAGATGCGGAGGCAGATCAGCTCCGCCGTTCGTGAGTTGATCACGGTGCCCGGCGGGCCCGTCTCGAGCATACATGGTCGGGGACCGTACCCATGACCGTGACCTCCGCCGCCGCGCTGCAACTCTCGAGCTCCTTGCTGCGCAGCCACTCACGCAGCTCCGCCTGCGCCGTGCGGTCACTCCTGTAGAGACGTGTCAACACCTCAGGAGCGACGCGAGTGCGGACCTCCCCCACGCCCACCACTTCAAAGCCGCCGCCCGAGGAAGGGGACGGCGAAGGTGCTGACGATCCACTCCCTCGTGTAGCCCGTGAGCTGTCCATCTCGACGATCATCCCGTGCTCTCGGAGCTTCCGCAGTAGTGTATCGATCTGACCCCGCGATGGCTCGATGAACTCCTCCTCGCGCCTCGAATTGGCTGTGTCGGACCGACTCGATCTCGGAGAACGCGGAGTCGTGGCGCGGTCGCCCGTCTCGAAGCGCACGCCGCCAGAGGGACCCCCAGGAGGAGTAGCCTTCAACTCTCGGATCTAGTCAGCAAGCAGCGGCATCTGCTCCTGTCCCGTCAAGATTCAGAGCGCGAATTACCTACCCCGCTTTCGCTTCCAGGCAAAACCAAGCCATACCACGCGCCTCCTCGTCAAGCGGCGAGAGCAGTACAGGCTGCAATTTGGCATCGTTTGGTATCTCTTGGAAGCGAGGGTGGGCAAAAGCGAGGTAGGTTTGTTTTCCCCTTAAAGATGGTCCGCATCAGCTCCGTGGAGGTCGGCTCCTCACCCGAGCCGGTGTCCGAGGCCGCGGTGCCCTTGGCCCGCACGTCGCCGCCTTCGCTGCCCGACCCGTCGTAGTCCGACCCCGCGTCAGCCGAGCCTGGGTAGTCGAAGGCCAAACTGTCGGATTGGATTGGGCCCCAGGGGCCAATCTGGCCCGGCCAAACTGGATAATTTGGGTTATTCGCCAGACTGGATTCGCGTTGGTTCCCTCGCCAGATTGCCCCCGTTTGCCAGATAGGGCCTGCCAGATTGGCGCCAGATTGGTTTCGACTACCCAGCGAGCTGGCGCTGGCGTACAATCCCCATATGACGAGGCCGCCGATGCCAAGGGCGATCGAGTAGAAGCCCAGCTCGCCCGCCTCGTGCATCTCGAGCATGCTGCTCTGGATGTCGCCGAAGTGCTCGAGCCACTTCCCCGCCCTCCTGGTTCGTGTGCTACGCGGCCTTCAGCCACTCGCACACCCCCGGGCAGTGCCAGAGCCGCCAGAAGACCACGGCTGATCCCGCCATAGGCCCCCGGCTCCGACGAGCCCAGGCCCACAGTCCAGCAGCCGTCATCGCCTCGACAGCCCCGAACTTCGGGAAGAGCGAGAGTCGCTTGCCTCCGCCCTTCTTCGGTCCAGGCTTCTTGGGGGCTGTCTTGGTGACTCCGTTCATCCTGTCGATCAGCCTGGCGCTCGCCTGCTTGGCCTCCTGCTTGTCATGTGCGCAGCTCCGCGACCTCCTCGACGTCAGTGCCTTCGTCCAGCACCAGCCGATCCTGGAGGCCCAGGAGCACGCACACTACCCAGAAGAACGTGGTGCCCCGCCACACCGCCGTGGTGGCGCTGAGGGCACCGCCCTGCGGCCGAAGCCCGCGCGAAGTGCGCCAGCTGGGCGCAGCTGCGCCCCAACGCCGAGGGCGATGGGCGCTCGCGGGCCCTCGGGAGGAGGCGCGGGCGCTGGCCACGAGCCTCGAATCCCTCGAGCCCAAGTGACTACAAGCCAAAGATCGTGCCGTGACAACGTGACGATCGGCAGAGCTGGAGAGGAGGAAGCGGCCACCCCATACAGACCCCTTCTAAATCGAGCCCGAGAAAGAATTTTTGAAAACTCATAGGGGGCGTTGTTTTTACTATTTTTTGAGTTTTTTGGGAAAATTTGGTGGGTATTTGTATGTTTCGTCTAAAATCTGCCTGCAGCGGGACATGCCCGACCTAGCGCTGGGGCCCCGGGGGAAGGCTGCATTCTGATTGGGAGCTCCCCACCACCACAGGCGGGGCCTTCCCCTGGACCCCCGCGGGCGACCCCCCGGGGACCCGCCGAGATTTGGGGGGGGGGGGGGGGCAGCATTCTGACCAGGACCCCCTCCCGCGCCCCCCCATGCCCCTCGTCAGGGGAGGGGGAAGAGGGAATGGCATCGATTCAGGTACGACGTTTATTCTCTTGCACAGCTGTGTCCGGGAGCTCGGGCCTCTTTGTTTTCGTCGTCGTTCGTTCGTTCGCCGTTCGTCCTCCCCCCTGGCCGTCCTGTCCCTGCCCTGGACTCCTGGACCCAGCCCTCCCCAGCTCCCCTCGCTCTCCCCCTGGCCGCCCCCTCTGGCCTTGCCCGCTGTGTTCTGCAGCTCGAACGCCTCTCCGGAAGGAAGGGGGCAGGAGCCTCCTGCCCCTCGCGGCTCCCTGGTGCAAGAGCCAGGGCACGCGCGCCGCTTGCTTGTACTCCAGATTTCGTAATAAAGGGAGGGGGGTCTCATTTCGGGGCGGGTCTCTTCCAGGCTATCTTGGAGGGCCTGGGGGGTCTGGGGACGATGTTTTGGAGGGTTCTCCCACGGGGGGGGTCTGAAATGGAAGTCTGGGGACATGTTTTAAAACAGTACTGTTTAAAACATGTTGGGAGTATTTCTTGAGTATGTTTAATGTGTCGCCCAAGATCCGCCTGTAGGGGGACATGCCCGACTTAACTTTTGGGCGATCTTGCGGCCGTAAGGACCCATCGAACGGGGGAAAACGACACAACCCAAATCAGTGAGATCTTCCGTCCGCAGCCACTTTGGCTCAAGGCATTTTCGGATCAAGTTTGCCGCCCAAGGCAAACGCCGAAAACTACACACATGTTGATACCTTCAGACCTCATTTCGTACAAGTTCGGATCGGGCTGATGAGCATGCTAGTGAAACTCGCCACCGCGTTTTTGGCAGTCTCAGGGGCAAACGGGAAGGACTTCGACTCCTGCCTGATGCAGATGGCTGCAAGCCCGACTCAGGCTACAACCGTCGAGCGGCCACTCGCGGATACCTATGTTCAGTCCTGCCAGTCAACGAATTATGGTACCCAGCAGGTGTTGGTCAACAAGCGCTACTCCGACGGCTGGTGCGGCACTCGATACTCGTTCTTGCAATTCAGCGTTCCTTGCGATGCTCAGGATGCAACGCTCCTGCTGTGGCCGACTGACTATCCTGCTGGTACCTTTCCAAAGGTGGCCGTCTTCACGGTGCAGAACGCGTGGTCGGAAAGCACCACTATTTGGTCCAACCACCCTGGCTGGCAGGAGCAGGTTTGCGATTATCAGACATACCCAGGCCCAGTCGGGCAGGCGTTCGCATGCACCGTTCCACAGGCGAAACTCGCCGGTAAGAACACCATCTCGTTTGCGTTGGTTGCAGAATGGATGTGGGCGGGGGGCAGTAGTTTTTGGTCTCGCGAAGCCCTCGACGAGAGCACCAGACCGTCGCTGGTGTTCCACTGTCCTACTGCAGCACCCACGACGGCCCCGACGAGCAGCCCGACCTCGTCCCCGACGCCCAGTCCGACGAGCAGCCCGACAAGCAGCCCGACCTCCAGTCCGACCGCGTCCCCGACGTCCAGTCCGACGAGCAGCCCGACCTCCAGTCCGACCGCGTCCCCGACGTCCAGTCCGACGAGCAGCCCGACCTCCAGTCCGACCTCGTCCCCGACGCCCGGCCCGACGCCTTCGCCGACTGCGGCCCCGACGAGCAGCCCGACGAGCAGCCCGACCTCCAGTCCGACCGCGTCCCCGACGTCCAGTCCGACGAGCAGCCCGACCTCCAGTCCGACCTCGTCCCCGACGTCCAGTCCGACACCTTCGCCGACTGCGGCCCCGACGAGCAGCCCGACCTCTAGTCCAACCGCGTCCCCGGGCCCGACGTCAAGTCCGACGAGCAGCCCGACCTCCAGTCCGTCCTCGTCTTTCCCAGGGACGGTGGCGACGAGTTCGGCCGTTGGCGATCCCCATATGAAGAATGTATACGGCGAGCGTTTTGATTTGATGGCGCCAGGCAACCATGTTCTTATCAACATCCCTCGTGGAGAGCGCGCTGAAAAAGCATTGCTTCGCGTGCAGGCCGATGCACGCCGATTGGGTAAACAGTGCACGGATCTATATTTCCAAGATTTGAACGTGACCGGATCTTGGGCAGAGGCAGAACAAGTCGGAGGTTTTCATTACAGCGCATCGCAGAGCGAGGTTGAGGTTCCTAAGTGGGTTATTTTTGGTAAGATAGAGCTGAAGGTCGTTCGCGGGCATACGGACGGCGGCACGTCGTACTTGAACGTGTACGTCAAGCATTTAGGCCGAGCTGGGTTTGCTGTCGGAGGTCTTCTAGGCGAGGACGACCACAGCAACGCGAGCACGCCAGAGGCTGGGTGCGTGGAACTTGTGAATCTACAGGATCTGCAAACGCTTCGGACTGGCAGTGGCTACCGACCGGTCTCGACTGCAGAGGCAACATACGCTTAAGCTTGTTTTCCAGCAGGTGTTCTTGTTGTTTCAGTTGCGCAGTAGTTTATGAGCAGCGAGGCTGACTGACTTCGATATCAGGAACTGTCCATCGCAGGACGCTTTTGCAATCGAGGAAAAAATCAGTAAGACCGTCCGTGCTTCGAAGCTGGTGGCCTCTCGAAGCCAGCCTGGGGAGCCCTTCCACCTTGGCCCGAGGTGGTCATGGAGCTTAGGTCGGGCATGTCCCCCTACAGCCGATGTTCAACGAAACATGTGAAATGTTCAAAATAAGCAAAACTGATCAAACAACTATTAGAAACATCTTCCCCGACTATTTTTTACTATTTCTGAATACTCCTCCTGTAGAGGGACGTGCCCGACTTAACACTGGGCCTCCAAAAGGAGTTCGAGTAGATCTGGAGGCCTTTTGGATGCCCAGTGTTAGGTCGGGCACGTCCCTCTACAGGAGGACTATCCAGAAATGGTCAAAACATAATATGGGGAAGGTTTTCCTAGCAGTTGTTGACCAGTGTTCGCTATTTTTGAATATGTTTTAATGTTTCGAGAAAAATTTGCCTGTGGAGGGACATGCCCGAGCGCGTCCCACCTTGGTGGCTATTTTGGAGACCGCCTCGCCTTGTCTTGACCTGCCGAAGCCAAGACGGGGGCCATACACGCCGATGTTGTTGCCGAGGAGCGGTTTGGCACAGATGCCCCCCGTGAGGACCCCCAAAGCGCCCCCAGCATCGTTCAGCACATCGCGAAGGCCTAGCCGAACCACCTGTGCTTGGCGCCGCGCTGGTCGCAAGGCTGCCCGCAGGAGGGCTCATCGGGCTCCAACTGGCCCCCGGAGAGCGGCAAGAGAGCCCCAGAGGGGGCCCCGACAGAGCCCCAGCAGGGCCACAAGGGTACCCAAAAAGGGCCTTATCGAACGAGTTCCAGCGGGTCCCCCGCAACTCTCGAATTCGACGCACCGTCCCAACAACTTGGTTCTCAAATATGCCCTGGGCGTTTCTCTCATACTGGTTTCGTGTTGGCGTGTTGGGAATCATGCGTGTAGGGGTCTTTAGATTCCAACAGCGCGGTTCAACATTGCTGTCTACCACATCCTCAGTTCCTTCTCCCTGCGTCCGGTCCCCCCTGCATTCTTATTCTGATATGGTTGCTCTTCTTTGGACGTCGCTGCTGACTGGTCGCTGGGCCTCCGGGCGTGTGCCGCGCCGGTGTCAGACCGGTGTTAGGACGTTGTTTGGGCCTCTTTAGCTCTGCGCTCTGCGCGCGGAGCGGGAGGATGGGGGGATAGCAGGAACGGGAGAGCGGGAGCGAATACGGCAGTGAAGACGAGGAGTAGCCTTTGACAAGAAAGCGAGCAACGCTGAAAGAATACAGATCCACAGCGGCGGGCTTGAAAAAGCTCAGAACACGGTAAGACACGCCAACACTACTTGGCGTGTTGTTGTATCGCTTTTAGCGCGTCACGAGCCCAAAGTGCAAAACGGTATCAAAACGCCCAAGGCGCTTTTGAGAAGCCCAACAGAGGAGGCGTTGCGGCGTGTGGTAGGGGCAGGGATTACGCCCACCCTGGAGGGAAAGAAGGGGCTGTAATAGCTACAGCGCAAAATCACATGCGTCCAGAGGGTTGTGGGCACTTCAGGAGAACCACGGCTTATTACGAAGACGCCAGTGTCAAACAGGAGGCGCCCAGCTAAAACGAGATTTTTGTTTTTTCTCCGGAGATATAGTTGAGGATGGAAGCTTGAGTTTTGGGTTGGCTTGCCCTGGGGGTTTTCAGAGCAGCATTGGCAAGCAATCACGCCAGCGTTTTGGTTGGGCTCCCATTGCCATCCAACCTGAAGAGCAAAGCCCATAAAGGGCTGGCAGAGGCCTTGGAAGTGGCACCTGCGCTGCGCGCTATGGCACTGACAGGGTGCCCAGCTGGTATGGCAGTCGCAGCACCAAGAGTATCGACACCACGCAGTAGGATACTCCAGCAGGCACTTGGTAGGTCCGCCACTCGGGGGACCACCCGCGTATGACGAATCGGACCTGTCGCCAGAACAAATCCCGAGACGCTAGCATCGGGATGTTCTTGCACGTCTGTCCAATATCATCCCTGCCCGTGTGCATGTATCTCGGAGATCTGAATTCAATGGCATCCCCATTCCGGGTCTAATTCCCGAGTATCCGAAGTTCATTTCGACAGCGCGTTAAGATGCAAGTACACGTTTCATGCGTTTGGTTTCGGGGGCACATTATGTTGTATATGTTTGTTGCCGGGGGTTGGCGGACCCGGGTGGTTCCATAGTTGCGAATAACAGTAGTCGTCACGATCAGGCCATGATAGATACGTTGTCGTGATCTCGATATTATTGTCAAGTGCAGGCGCGTAGATCTAGCTCAGAGGTGTCTCATCAAGGAGGAGCGGAGCGAAATGATAGATATTTGGTTGGCAGGGGGAGGTGGGCAGGGGTGGGCGTAAGATGCAAATGTCCTGTCGCCGTGTTCGATCTCCCATCAACTCCACTGGCCGCGGCATCATCGACCTCCAGCTGTCCGCGTCTACGTTTGAGGTTGTGGTACGTCCCGCCCTGCCTGCCCTTGTATCAATAGCCTTCCAACGCCCATGTAATCGTTGCGTCGCTCCTCTTCTTTTCACCTTCGCGGAGTTCCTGAGAGCGGGAGGGTTGGTGTGTGTGTGCACGATCGTGTTTGGACGGTCAGCGGGGAGTCAGCGGAGATTTGCCGCTGCCACGGCAAAATTCGTTCATTTCAAAATGCTGGTCCGTCAGATGGTAACGCCCCAGCAACATCTGGGATGGGACTCTTCGGTACGGACATGTCAGCAGAAGGCCGTGAGGCTTCCATGATGGGTTGGTTCGCAGTAGGGAGTGTTGTTCTCTGCAGCAGACTGCCAGCGTGAGTGCCAGGAACGCTTTCGTGCGATGACGCACCTGTACTACCGGGACTTGACCATTGCTGCTTGCATGTTTTTTGTTCTGGCAAGCAAGAGCAAACGCACGAGCAGAGATTGGAGAATGAATGTTTCGCAAACCCATGTTCCATCATTCGCATTCGGCGCTTGGAGATCTCGAGGATATGCACCTGCGATCCTGTTCCGAACGTGTCGACCACACCTCCGCATGAGCGTAGCATGCTTTCTGCCCCAACACTGGCTGAGCGGGATTGCCCGTTGATAACGTACCATTGTAGTGACGGAAGGTCGCGAAAGTTTGATTGATGTAGGAGAATAGCGAACGTAGTACCGAATACTTTCAGGTGGGCGCTGTAACACGGCAGATCCTTGCGCCAGTTTTTGGATTGATGGCAACCGATTGCGAATGAGAGGTTTGAGGTTGTAGAGGCAGTCAGTATTCAAATGATCATGTCAGATGTCTCGTAATGCCAGGATGCAGCGGGGGCCGTCATCGTCTATGACTGCACAGACGCTCATTCGCAGGCTGCTACTTTGAAGGAGGTATGCATGCTGTGTTTCGCCTCGGTGCACTCTAGGAGCACATCGGATTAATCCACACCCCGTGTCATATCCGCTTGATGAACAGGATGAGGAGGAGGCGGAGGAGGAGGAGGAGGAGGAGGAAGAGAAGTAGTAGAAGCAGGAAGGAGGAACAGGAGGAGGAGGAGGAGGAGGAGGAGGAGGGCAAGCACAAGGTCCAGAGGTCTCTTGGATGCCTCTCGGAGCCTCTTGGGGTATCTCTTGGGCGATTCTTGGTGGCCTCTTGGGACGTCTTGGGGGTCTCTTGGCGATCCTGGGGGGCTCTTCGGGGTCTTGGGTGCCTCGGGGGGGGCATATTGGGGCCGCTGAAGGTCTTCTTGGGGGCCTCCTGGGGGCATCTTGGGGTCCTCTTGGGGCCATCTTGGGGCCATCTTGGGACCTCTTGGTTCCTCCTGGGCGCTTCTTTGTGCCATCTTGGAGGAGATCTATCAAAGAAGAGCGGAGCTTCAATTAGGGTTGCCCCCCCAGGAGGCCAAAATGGGACCAAAACCATAGTAAAATCAATGAGTTTGGCTTCCTCGCCGAGGCCGTTTTGGACGCTCTGACCGCTCGCGCCCCCCCCCGTCCAGGTCCACGGGGAGGGGTTAGGGGGATGGGTAAACCCCTCCCCGAAGCGGAAGAAGGAGGGGTGGAAGAGGAAACGCCCTAAACCACCGACGCCCAGAGGGCTGGTGGGATTCCCCCCTGCTTTTGAGACGCGGGGGGGCGAGACTGGACCCCCGGCCCCTCCCCCCTGGGATCTGCGTTTACTCCCCCCCACCTCCCCCTAAAGCGCCGGCGAAGGAGAGAGGATTCAATACCATTCCCGCCCTCCCTTTGGCGGCGGACGGAAGGGGACGGGATGCACTGCGGCGCATGGGAGGGGGTTCGGGGGCTAGGATGAGAGTGTTAGGGGTTTGAGGATGTGGGCTTGGGGGGCAGTGCTTAGGGTTTGGGCGTTAGGATGTTTGGATCTGGGGTGTTAGGGTGTCAGGGCTAGGTTTATCCCTTAGATCTAAACTTCGGAGGTTAGAGTGAGGTAAGAAGTGGACATGGGAGCAGGGGGTATTCTTCGGGTTGCTGCATCTTGATAGGCCCTTATGGTTTCATGGAGCTAGGGTGAAGGACCGGTCGTTAGGGCTAGATTTAGTGATCAGGTTTGCAGGTGTCAGGGTGTAGGGTTAGTGTTTAGGGCCAGGGTCAGGGTGTCAGGGCAAGTGATTAGGACCAGGATGTAGGGGACAAGGGTTGTAAGGTCAGCGCGTCAGGGTTCAGAGTTGAGGTTTAGGGTTGGGCATAATGGGTAGGGTTCGGATGTTCGGGCTTAGCTTGGGCTTACGACCAGGCGTAGGGGGGGGGGGTAGGATCAAGGCTTTAGAGATTGAGGTTCGTGGTTATGACTAGGATTCGTGCTTCTAGTCAGGGCTCAGGGTTTTACGGGGTCCGGGGTGAAGTTTGGGTGTTGGGCGCAGGTTGAGTGCCTTAGGTGTCAGGACGTCAGGGTTAAAGTGTACGTCAGTGTTTTGGGGGTGTCAGGGTTGAGGTTTAGTTCTCAGGTTGTGGAAGTCGATTAATGGAGAGGAAGCAGATTACCAAATAATTTCCAGATGTCTAAAACATGGTGTTAAACATGTTTTCACCACGTAAAAACATGTTTAGAACATGTTTCCTACATTTTAAACACATTTCAAATTCAATGATAGGATTGTTAGGGTGTCCATTGTGGCATCCACAATTCTCAGGGCTCCTGCTTTGGGTCGCGGTCCGGCCAGAGGGTCAGGGTGTCAGGGTTCGGGTATTGGGGCCAGGGTTCAGGGGTCAAAGAAGGGAACGACGAGGCTCAGCTGCGAGAACAAGAGAGCGGGGGGAGCGGGGGGGGTCCCAGCCTCCTGCCCGAAACGGAGGGGGGAGCGTCTTCCTTCAGGCAATCGCAAACATGGATCACGGGGGCGTGGATTAGCGACGGGTCCCGCTTCCATGGGACGTCGCGGAGTTCCGCCGCCGAGCGAGGCGGCACCGGCCGCACTTGGGGGGAGGGCACCTCCCCCGATCCATGGATTTGGCGACCTCGCGCCAAATCCATGGATCGCTAATCCTCCGCCCTCCTATGGAGGGCGGAGGATTAGCGAAATCGCAAAATCCATGGATCGCTTGGTGCGCCCCCGATGCCCCCCCCCTCCCCCTCGCCCTCCTCTGGAACGCAGGCGGGAGGGGGTGGGGGGGAGCCCGGCGGCGTGTCGGACAGGGGCGGGTGGGGCGTCCCGGACGACGGGCCGGCGAAGTGACCAGAGAGTCAGGAGGGGAAACACACCACAGGCACAAATAATCGTCGATCACCCGGAAACGATTGGAAAATATGGGAAGTGGGGGGGGGAAAGAGAGAACCCCCGAAAAGATTGGAAAATATATAGGGGATCTTGTGATTTGTGTGTGTGTATTTCTTTGTGCGTCCCAGGACCCCTGCAGAGAGTGGGGGTTCAACCCTCTTTCCCGTGGGGGCAGCTCGCGGCGCGCCCTCTCTATCCGAGCGCATGCTGTGAGGTGTCGTTGGCGTGACATCATGTTGTTGCACTGCAGCTCGGTGCGGCAGTCTGCTCCTGCTGCCACTCCACTGTCCTCACCATCCGGAATTATTTCCGTATTGCGACGGCGCCTCTTTCCTTATACCTTGTTATCGCGTTCTTCCCTTGCTCTTTCTCTCTCTCTCTCTCTTTCTCCATCTCTCTCCCTCTCTCGTCCGTTATCCGGTGTTTGCCGACATGGTGGCCTCGCAGTTGCGTAGGATTTTAAATCGTTAGGCAGCCACCTGCTTGGGAATCGTGGTGGGCTCCTGATAATATTCAGGTCATGTCATTGAGAGTTTATCATTGTGCGTGGTAGTGGGTCGTTTCTCATTGAGTTCGTTACCTGCACAGCAGTTGTTGCAAACGGGTGCAGATTGATTCAAGGTGGCCGAAGGCTTCAGCTGTCCGCGCATTTCTTGGCCACGATTTGTTAGGAACTACATCGGAAGAATGGATTCAAATCCAGCCCTGACATATGCTTCTAGTGAGTTGAATAGCTGAATGTTGTGCGCTTGGGCATACGATAAGCCACACTTGCTTACACTTGAGAAACAGGCGCTTGCGTCTTTCCCAGTCGGGCGCACAGTGTTCAATCCCGTTTTCACATACCCGAGTGCAGCATCACGGACGGTCAGTTTCACGGCCGCGTGGATGCCGCATGTGTCAAGCTCGTGCACACCATCGCATGGACTCTGAAGAAAGAGGTTCTGTATGGTTCCAGGGCAGGGATTTCTGCATAATCACCGCCTGGCAGGTCGATGTTCGGGGACTTCGGCAGGCGGTGGGTATGGATGTATATGCCCCCCTCAGGGCCTGGACATATCTATATCCACCGCTTGCCGGGGTCCCCGAAGGGTTGTGGTTATGGATAGATCCCCGCCTCGCATGGTACCTTTCCCGGCTCTTTCTCTCTTGCATGAGGTTGTTGCTTTGTGATATGTCACGCATGCTGAAACCAGTTGCGATGGATGCACGAGCCTCAGCCCCCAGGGCCTGTGCCCCGACGGGCTTTCTCGGTGGTGGGGCCACGCCGGGTCTGCCGGTAGCCACCGCTACGGGCACCTTCTCTGCGCCAATCTTCCGCGCTATCATTTTCAGACGAGACATGGTACCATAGAGCGAGTCGAGTCGAGTCGAGTTGAAGTTGTTTCCCTCGCCGCTTTGCCCCCCTTTCCACTCAAGAGCTGCGTCGAGCACTGGGCGCGCGAGCTGCAGAACAAGGGGGGGTGGCGAGGGTGGTCCGACAAAGTGTCCAAACGATACCTAAACGAGCCCCCTGGGGCTCCGGAGGGGCCCGAAAAGGGGCACGAAAGGAGACCGTTTCTGACCCCCCAGTGATGACCCCCCCCGTTAAGCCACGCCGAATTGAGGTTGTTGCCCTCGCCGTTTTGCCCCCCTCCCGCTCCAGAGCTCCGTCGAGTACTGGGCGCACGAGCTGCAGAACAAGGGGGGGGGGGCGAGGGTGGTCCGAAAAGGTACCCGAACGATACCTAAACGAGCCCCTCTGGGGCTCCGGAGGGGCCCGAAAAGGGGCACGAAAGGAGACCGTTTTTGACCCCCCAGTGATGAACCCCCCGTTAAGCCACGCCGACTTGAGGTTGTTGCCCTCACCGTTTTGCCCCCCTCCCCGCTCCAGAACTGCGTCGAGTACTGGGCGCAGGAGCTGCGGAACAGGGGGGGGGGGGGGCGAGGGTGGTCGGACAAGGTACCCGAACGATACCTAAACGAGTCCCCTGGGGCTCCGGAGGGGCCCGAAAGGAAGCACGAAAAGAGACCGTTTCAGACCCCCCCAGTGATGACCCCCGCGTTAAGCCACGCCGACTTGAGGTTGTTGCCCTCACCGTTTTGCCCCCCTTCCCGCTCCAGAACTGCGTCGGGTACTGGGCGCACGAGCTGCAAAACAAGGGGGGGTGACGAGGGTGGTCTGACAAGGTACCCGAACGGTACCTAAACGAGCCCCTTGGGGATCCGGAGGGGCCCGAAATACCGTTTCGGACCCCCCAGTGATGACCCCTCCGTTAGGCCACGTCGGCTTCAGGTTATTGCCCTCACCGTTTTGCCCCCCTTCCCGCCCCAGAATTCCGTCGAGTATTGGGCGCGCGAGCTGCAGAACAAGGGGGGGTGGCGAGGGTGGTCCGACAAGGTGCCCAAGCGGTACTTAAACGAGCCCCCTGGGGCCCCCCCGAGTGATGATCCCCCCCCGTTAAGCCACGCCGACTTGAGGCTGTTGCCCTCGCCGCTTTGCCCCCCTCTCCCGCTCCAGAGCTCCGTCGAGTACTGGGCCTGCAGAACAAGGGGGGGGGGGCGAGGGTGGTCCGACAAGGTACCCGAACGATACCTAAACGAGTCCCCTGGGGCTCGGGAGGGGCCCGAAAGGGGCACGAAAGGAGACCGTTTCTGACCCCCCCAGTGATGACCCCTCCGTTAGGCCACGCCGGCTTGAGGTTGTTGCCCTCACCGCTTTGCCCCCTTCCCTCTCCAGAATTCCGTCGAGTACTGGGCGCGCGAGCTGCAGAACAAGGGGGGGTGGCGAGGGTGGTCGGATAAGGTACCCAAACGGTACCTAAACGAGCCCCCTGGGGCTCCGGAGGGGCCCGAAACAGGACCCCCCGTTAAGCCACACCGACTTGAGGTTGTTGCCCTCACCGCTTTGCCCCTCTCCCGCTCCAGAACTCCGTCGAGTACTGGGTGCACGAGCTGCAGAACAAGGGGCCCTCCCAGGTCCGCATCGCCGTGGCGGCCAACAAGTGCGCCCAGCGGCCGCTCTCTGTGGCTCGCTCCTTGCGGATGTTGCTGAATGCATCCCTGGCCCAGGGCGATCCCAGCTTTCCCAGGGAGGCGCAAATGTCATCGCGCCAACATCGCAGAGCGGATTTCGTTCGGAAAACGATAGGGTGGGCCCGGGGGTGTCCTGGAGAATTTCGTTCCGGATTTCTGGGTTCCTTTCGTGCGGAGTCAGATCAGGAAAGAAGACTTAAACAATCCACGCGAAAGTAACTTCGTTTTTCACTCGCCGTTTCGGGGTTTTGCATTTGCAAAATCCAAGCAACAATCCGCTGCAGCACGTCTGCAAGGTCGGTGTAGTGACAGATGGGTTTCAGAGCACCCCTCACGAGGCCCACAGGGTCCTAGCGGCCCCGAAATGGCCCGACATGTTGGGGCGGACCACTTCTGGCAACACCTCCGCTCGGGGAGAGGGGCATTTCTATCCAAGCGGCCCACGCCATTCCGACGACTTCCTAAGAAGAGATGTGGTTTTCGATGCCATGTGTCTTGTTTGTTTCTCCGCGTCGTGTTGCCCGCGTGTTCATCGTTTTCCTTTTCCTCCTCCTCCGCGTCTGTTTTGGAGCTTCTTGGGGGCCTCTTGGAGTCCTCGGGGTTGGCCACTTGGGAGAGGTTTCCGGGGCCCTCGGTGGGAGCTTTTGGGGGGCCTCGGGGGGCATGTGGGGGTCTTCGGGGCCATACTGTGGGGGAGGGATCCCGGGCCGCCTTCGAGTTCCCCCTTCTGAGCCTCTCTTGGGTTTTTTTTCCCGGAGGCAGGAGAGGGGTGTGGCATAAAGGGGTGTGGTGGCAATGGTGAGTCTGGCGGTGTCATTTATCGTAGAAAGCATCTCGATTTCCACGATTGGCACCACACCCCATTATGCCACACCCCTTTCCTACCTTTAAGTCGGGCCTGTCCCTCTACAGGAGGAAAATTCAAATATAGTCGAAAAATAGTCTGGCGACGATGTGTTTTACTATTTTTGCCCATTTGGGGTTATTTTTTTATTGTAGTTTTTTGCATGTTTTGCCCAACGTCACCCTGCAGGGGGACACGCCCGACTTAGTCCTACCTCCAGATTTTTGGACGTCTTCGAGGCCTCCTTGGCAGCCTTGGCGCCCTCGTGGGCCATCCCTCGGCCATCTCGGGGGCCTCTTGGGTGGGTCTGGGGCGCCCCTCGGCCCGCACCGAGCTTTGGGCTCGACAAGGCGAGGGCGCGACAATCACGAAAACATAGATGGGACACACCTCATCCTCCTCCTCCTACTCCTCCTCCTCCTCCTCCTCCTCTTCCTCCTCCTCCTCCTCCTCCTTCCCCATCTCCCCCTGTTCCTTCTTTTCGCCCCCCCCCCCCTCCTCCTCCTCCTCCTTCTCCTCCTCCTCCTCCTCCTCCTCCTGTTTCGCCTCTTGAGGCTGGCTTGCGGGTCCTCTCGGGGCCCTCCTGGGGTGTTTCCGGGGCCTCCTGGGCCGTCTTGGATTTTCTTTGGGCCCTTCCTGCGTGTTAGAGCCCTTTTTGATCCATGTTAGATGGCGTCTTGGGCATCTCGGAGGCCACAGAGTGTGGATTTTGAGGCTTCGAGGGCCCCGGAGAACTGCTGACGAGTTCTTGGATTCCCCATCTTCTCACAGGATTTGGGGCCCCAGGGGAGTGGGAAAGGGAGAGGTGGACAGCGAACCCCTTGCAAGCGCGGCTCGGCGGACCTCTGCTTGGGAGGCAGCCGTTCCACTTCCCCGTCTGCATGGGAGGCATTTGATACTGGCAGGGACAAATCACGAATTGTCAGTTTAGGAACCCAGGCCTGTAGCTTTGCCAGCACCCAGGCCATTGCGCAGACCGGGACGCGCGCAGCAGTGTCATTGACGAGTCGACCATGGACACCCCTGCCCCCCGATTACCTTCGGCGAAGTTTCCCACTCGGCAGTCCCAAGTAACTAGTAACCAAACTCCCTCCTCGTTGTCCCTGGCGTCCTCCTTCCTGCAGCGTCTGTTCCAATTGAGGTCGACAGTTTCATCCATGGGCCCGATCAGATGAGACAGGAGAGGCCTCTGCTCTTTTTGTGATTTGTCATCCCCGTTGCGACTGACAATACAGTGGGGGGCGCGCACCAAGAAACCATATGCTTTTCTCAGGGTATCCTGGGTTTCTTCGCCCCGCGCGCTGCGCGGCGACTTCCCGCGGCCGTTGTAGGATCTGCTGCGTTCAGAGTGCTCCAGATTTCTCTTCTGGTGCACTTCGCGCGCGGGTTTTCAGGGTCGACCCTGCCAAATCAAGGTACCCTTGTGTCCCATGTCTCGCGACCCGTGTTGCCAACATTCCTGCGGTAATGTGGCCCCCGGAAGGGTCTTGTGTCCTCTCGCGTGTCCTGTCCAATCGAGTCCGCCTGTATCGTATTATGTTCGTCTGCCCGACATCCTGCCAGGAGCGACGTGGAGACGAAGGCAGTCGACCCCAAGGGTATGAAGGCAGCCACCGGCTCTTTGATCGTGGCAACGTTCAGCCATCTCACCACATGAGGGAGTACGCCACATCCAACCCTTGGCATCGCTCGGACGTGTGAATTTGCTTTCTCGGCGAGGACCTTCGAGGAGCATCCTCGACCATCTGGCAAGAAGAGCACGCACGGAGCCGACAAATGCACGGGGAACGGACGTCCGAGCGACGGCAAGAGCCCGGTGTGGTCCACGGAGATCTCGTTCGGGAGGGGGGACAGCTGTTCTGTGGTTCGCAAGATACTCCTGAGCATACCCGGTTGCAGAGTCGCCGACGAATCATGAGCTTTCGTACTGCGGGGGGGGACCCTTGACACCCATTGTTGCCAGCCGCTTGTGATGGGGCCGCTTAGACGCGCCAGTTTCGAGTGACCGTGGTATGGAATAGGATTTCTAGTCCCACCGCTTGAAGACAAAGCTCATAAGGCAATTCAACGAGCTGCACGGAAACCGACACCGCTCCCATCTCCTTTTTCTCGTTGCACCTCCTACGCGTGCGTATCCCCTCTGTCATATGTATGTCGGATTTGCTGAAATTCGGAGCCATGTTTGTCTATGTTTGTATGCAGGTGTATGCGTCGCTGTGTTGCCTGTGTCTGCTTCTGCTGACGTATGCATTCCGTTATGACGGTGCGCCTTTCTCTCTCTCTCTCTCTCTCTCTCTCTCTATATATATACACTTACATATTCGTATACATATATATATATATATATATATATATATACATATATATATATATACATATCCCGGGGGACGAGGCTGCCTGGACGGGCCAAAGGACCACGGGGGGCATGGCGTGTCACGGCCTCTGGGAGCGTTCACAGACGGCCCAGGGCAGTCCCGAAACGTGCTGAAAAGGGCTCCAAGAAGGCTCCGAGTCGGTCCAATGCAGCCCAGAGAGTCACAACCATCGCCCCAAGCCGCCCAAGATGGCCCCAAGGCGCTCCGTAACCATTTTGGCTCAAGACATTGTGGCAACTCTTCAGGAATAGGGAACATTTGGTTTGCGCCTATTGCTGCCGAGCCCCTGTTACTCCGCCGTTGCCGCAAAGCACGTCGTGGTGCTTGCGGGAGCGTTCGCCATCCTGCTCGTCGGCCGCGGCTGCGTTGCCGCCGATGACTTAGCCAAGACCTCGGAGGAACGCTGCCTGATGGAGGACGATTCGCACAACTGCGACGACACGGGTGTCGGGCCCCAGCGAACCGCAAATCGCGAACATTTGGAAGGACGAGACGCCGTACCACAAACAATATGAGGAGGCGAGAGTGGAGGATATACCGATCGATTTCCAGAACCTCAGTTCCACCATGCATCGCCAGCATAAACATCCTGGCGACGTGCATCTCCGTTCCTCGGAGTGTGAGTTGGAGTGCCCTCAAGCAAACACTTACTGCTGCGTCGGGCCGGTTGTTTCTGGTTCGCGGGAGGTTCCAACTTGCTGTGTGGGTGGTAAGGTTGCTCCAGGATATTATTGCGCATGTGGATATTGGGGCCAGTGCACAAGGGGGTATCGTTGTAGTAGTGACATGATATGTAGCCCGTGCTAGCTCAATTGTCCTCTTCTGAATCCCGCTCGGTCTAACGTCCTGCCCGCTCGTACGATAACCCGCGCGCTCATTTTAAAGTCGCGTTCGCCGGGTCTGTCCGCCCGGCGCGACCCCAGCGAAGCGAGATTGGCAACGCGAGATGGGGGAAGCGAACCGTAAGGGCAACAACAAAAATGGCCCCATGGCGTCGCAAGAAGGCGCCAAGACGCTCCAAGGTGCCTCCCACAAGCCTATCAAAATGCCCCCAAGAGGGCAACACATTCCAATTCCGTTTGGGAACGTACACTTTTAGCAGAAGCACCTTTTCGCGTTTCCGACGCTCCAAACAGTCCAAGGAAGCCCCGAAGACCGCTTTAACGGAGCCCATGAAGGCCCAGCAGACCCCAAGACAACCCGAGAGGGACCCAAGACGGCCCAAGAGACACCCCAGAGGGCCCCAATACAGCTTTAAACGAGGGGGCCCAGACAGGGGATCCGAACGGACTTTCGGGGTCCTCGACCCCGAGAGGCCCCCAGGAGGCCCCCAAGAGGCGCCCGGGAGGCCCCCAAGGGGTCCCGAAGAGGCTCACGAGGGGCCCCCCAAAGCCCCCCAAACGGCCCCCAAGAGACACTGAACCGGGCCCCAAGAGCCTCGGAACTGCTTCCAGGATCTCCCAAGAGACTTGCCACGAGATTCGAACGAACTGTTCAGATGCTTCAATGAGGAGCGCCAGACGCCTCCAGGACGACCCCAGATGGCCAGTTGTCGTCGCCGAGTTCGTTCGTCGTCGTCGTCGTCGTCGTCGTCGTCGTCGTCGTTGTCGTCGTCATCGTCGTCGTCGTCGTGCGGAGGTGACATGACCACCTCAAATCATGACATCTCAGAGTCCACAGTTTACGAGGATGTCATAGGCGAACGTAGCTGGACCACCATAGGACAGGGCATGAGGTCAGAATTGCAAGGATATCTCAGGCCAATGTGTCCTGACCACCTCAGCTCAGGGCATCTCGGAATCCAGGGTTCCCCGGATGTCCCAGGCGAAAGTGGCCGAGCCGCCATGGAGCGTGGTATCTCCTAGGTCGAGGATGTCTGAGGCGAAAGTGGACTGACCACCCCAGCTCAGGGCCTCTCGGATCCCAGAGTTTCGAGGATGTCCTAGGCGAAAGCGGCCGAATCACCAGGGGGAACGTAAAGAACGGCCCAAGACGCTCCCAAGCAGTCCACAACACCATGTGGACGGCTTTCCACGCTCCCAGGAGGCCTCCATAAGACCCCCATCGAGGTCCGAGAGGCGCCCCGGTAAAGCCCGAAGATGCCAAAATCGTAGATTTTGATTGTTGTTCTGTGTTTTGTGACCTCGCGTGTTCGAACTTCCAACAGGGCAAGACCACCCAGGACGGGTCCTAGACGGGCCCAGACAACTCCAAAATTGCCGAAGAGGCGCCCGGTACCGCGCCCCCCGGCCTCCCTGGGAGCTCCCAGAACTTTCCAGGACGCCCCAAGACAGCCCCAAGAACCCCTCATTATGCAAAAGAAAAGCCGAAGATGCTCTCAAACAGTCCAAAACAGTCTGCTGACGGCTCTCCAGACTTACGGGAGGCCTCCAGACGCCTCCAAGACATTGCATGAGAATTCTTTACGCTTCGCGTATCCCCACCAGCCCATCTCACAACAGTAACTCTTGCGAGGCATGCCGACAGTCGTGTGTTTCAGGCGTGTGTCCGCTTGCCCCCGCATGTCTCCCCTGTTCCTCCTTCCTCCCGCCTCCTTGTACATCCTCCTTGTGGGGGGAGCGGGAGAAGGACGAGGCGGAGGAGGAGGGAGAGAAATCGCTCCTCGTGGTTTGAGTCGTTTGGGGCTTCTCGTCCTGGTGTGAGTCGTTCGGGCCCTTTTTCCTGGTGTGAGTCGTTCGGGCTCTTCGTGGTGTGAGTCGTTCGGGCTCTTCGTCCTGGTGTGAGTCGTTCGGGTTTCTCGTGGTGTGAGTTGTTCGGGCCCCTCGTCCTGGTGTGAGTCGTTCGGGCCCCTCCTCCTGGTGTGACTCGTTCGGGCTCCTCGTGGTGTGAGTCGTTCGGGGCCCTCGTCGTGGTGTGAGTCGTTCGGGCTCCTCGTGGTGTGAGTCGTTCGGGCGCCTCGTCCTGGTGTGAGTCGTTCGGGCCCCTCCTTCTGGTGTGAGTCGTTCGGGCTCTTCGTGGTGTGAGTCGTTCGGGCCCCTCGTCCTGGTGTGAGTCGTTCGGGCTCCTCGTGGCGTGAGGCGTTCGGGCACCTCGTCCCCTTTGGGGGCGTCTTGGGGGCCTCTTGGCGGCCCCAGGGGCTTCTAGGAGCGTCTTGGGTGCCTTGGGGGAGCCTCTTCGGGCCTCTTGGGAGCCTCTTGGAGGCCGTTTGGGGCGTCTTGGGGGCCTCTTGGCGGCCCCAGGGGCTTCCAGGAGCGTCTTGGGTGCCTCGGGGGAGCCTCTTGGGGCCTCTTGGTGGCCTCTTGGGGGCATCTTGGGGACCTCTTGGAGGCCTCTTGGGGGCCTCCTGGGGGGCCTCTTGGGGCCATCTTGGGGCCTCTTGGTGCCTCCTGGGCGCTTCTTGGGGCCATCTTGGAGGGAATCGATCAAAGAAGAGGGGAGCTTTAATGAGCGCTGCCCCCTCAGAAGGGCAAAATGAGGCCAAAACTTTCGTAAAACCAATGATTCTGCCTTGAAAGAAGAGGGGAGCTTTAATGAGCGCTGCCCCCTCAGAAGGCCAAAATGGGGCCAAAACCGTAGTAAAATCAATGATTTTTGCTTCAAAGAAGAGGAGAGGGTTTTTTCTCCCTCCCCCCGTCGGGGCCAGAATCCTCGTGAGGGGTGTCGTTTTTTAGCCCTCCCCGGAGTCGAAAATTACCCTCCCAACGACCCGCGGAGGGACCTCTCCAGGCCCAGGGGGAGGGGGTAGGGGGAGGGGTAAACCCCTCCCCGAAGGGGAAGAGGGGGGGTTGAGAACAGAGCGGGCTCTCTAAACCACTCACGCCCAAAGGGCTGGTGGGATTCCGAGAGACGCCCCGAGAGAACCCAAAGAGGGTAAAATCGTAAAATCGTTTCCGTAGCCATTTTGGCTCAAGCAATTTTGGCGCAAGCCAAATTAGTCAGCAAACAGTTCAACTTGTCTCGTCACCACACCTGCGCTCTTCTCCGGGAATATCCCCCGCGGGCTTTGCTCTCCGATGGCGGCGCCAGCGTTCGATGAGTCTTGGCGCTTAGACCCGATATTGGCGGGTGGCGTGGCGCCACCATGCGGAGCTGAATTTACGCGCTTCGTACCGCCGACGTTCAGCGCCCACGGGTGCGGGCCATTGTTCTCTCGCAAGGTTGGCGTCGTGAGGGCCCGCGCACCACATCCCGAGGACCTGGACGGCCTGCAGCGCGGGATGGTGGCGTCCGCGGAGCCAATCGCTTCGCGCGGCCCTGTCGGCGCAGAGGTGGGCGGCCCAGAGCGCGCGATGGGGGTGCTCGCGGAGCCGGATGCCTCGCGTGGCCCTGACAGTGCTCGTGCAAATTCGCTTGGGGCAGGCTTGGACGGGTCCGTGATCTTGAGAGGTGCGATCGGGGCAGCGATGGTGGCTTTGCGCTGGAAGCTGATCGGCAAGTCCTCCGCTCAGAGTTTCTCTGAGATCAACACGGAGACCACGCTAGTTGCGCCGGCCTCGCCACCACGGGCCGTGTTCAAATTCAGAGCTCGGTCATACGTCGCGGCACGTGCGCAGAAAGGAGACCAGCCGCGCAAGGCATAGTTGATATGTTTCGTCACGCGGTGCAGAAGCCACCCGCACTTGTGGATAACGAGGGGGCCGTTCTGCCGGCAGGTGCCCAGAGAAGGGTGAGGAGGAACGAGAAGGGGAGGAGCACGAGGTTGGTCGTGTCGCGAGGAGTGGCCTGCCGTTGATATTTGCACCGCTTTGGCGGAGCCTGCCATGATGCTGGTCAGGCCGCGGCAGTTCGGCCGCACTCGAGCACTCGTCCTGTGCTGGTTCGGCCCTGCGCCTGGAGCACGGAGTGCCCAGTCGCACTGCACAGCCGAGCTGGGCCTTGCCCGCCCACGTCGCGCGTTCGCGAAGCGCTGGAGAGGAACGTTGCCTCTGGACGGCCCGGGGCCGAGCATAGCAGACACGCTCGGGGAGCTCCTGGCGTGGGCAGTTCCTCGCGCGCAGTGCCGTGTTCGGGTCATCGTCTTGCTCTCGGATGCTCTCAGGGCTCTGGCAGGACCTTGAGGGATCTGCGGCAGCCCCTCACGGGCGCGGACGCTCTGGACGCCGCTCTCCTCTTTTCGGGTCCGTCCGTGTTCTTTCCCCACGCCCAGGATATGCGTGTGTGTCTCTCCAACAGGTGTGTCTCCAATAGGTTCGTCTCCCACACAGCGTTCGGTGCGCTGCAGTGCTGCTATGATGCGACCGAGGGGGATTCCCATAGTGACACCATCATGTCCCATTGCGGCACCATCACCACCATCATCATCACCATTATCATCAGCAGCGTCATCACCACACTTCGAGGGACGCTCCGCTGCGATGGTAAAGAAGTGCCATCGCCCAGCGTATCTTGCAGTGGATCTCCCACCACCGCGCAGCTGCCCACCGTCGGTGGTGAAGTTGGAGGATATCCGAGCGTCCTAGCTCGTTGCCGCTCAAGCTGCTGGTCTATTCTGGTTCGGGGTCGTGAGCCGTCGGCCAGTTGGCGAACTGGACCATAGTCCCCATGCGTTTCCCACAGCTTGGAGAGCTAGAAGGCTACGCATCGTGGTCACATATTGTCAGCTGTGGCGACGCAGACTCCAGGATTTGCGTTTGCGCGAAAAAAACACCACACTTCGTGGGACGTCGAATTGTTTGCACTGTATTGGCCTTTGGGGGAGACGCAAACATGAGTGGATGCTGCAGAGGTGCAGGTAGGAGCTTTTTTCCAGGTACATCTCTTCCGATGTTGTTGGCTCGCACAGGCGTGCTGCGTTTCATGGAACTGCTGCAAGCAAGCCAAGCGCACAGGGTGTCGAGATGTATCAGTTTGTACATAGATTGTTGTTTCTCCATGTCCAGACCCGCCGAGCATCCGTTTCTCGCAGGGCGATGGTTCAGTGAATGGGGCGGCAATGTAGCCATTTTCCGCGTCTTGAGACGCGCGGGCAGGCAGAGATTTTCCTGATGTGTCCACCAGCCAGGGGGTCACATCCCACAGGCGGCTTTCTCCGCGGCAGCGCTGGGCCCAAAATCGCAACATTGGGACGGGTTGAGTTCACGAGTGGAGTGAGTTAGTGTGTCGGAATGGGTAGGGTGATGCAACTTTAAACGGAGAAGGTTAAAGGCGAGATGTATATCGAGCATGCACCGCTGCCGTGCCTGGCTCAAGCCGGGCCCGGCGTAATATGTGATTGTGCCTCACCGAGGCGCACGATTCGTATCTGAGATCGGAAAATACCTTTTCCATTGACGATGCCTATTCTATCCTTTACTCCAGATCCCATGCTTCGTCTTGCTCTCTTGCTCATGCGATATGAGCCAAAGCTTGGGATATGGGAACGCCTAAGGCGTAACATATATCTAAGCTTACCAGCGCGATTTCGACTTGGTAGCGGAGCTGGCTACACTCTCGTGTGGCTGGCTCTCGCTCTAATACCAGTTATCCACGGCACAACTTGGTGGACTACTACCACGGTGGAATACCATGTTGCGCCGGCTCTGCGAGGAGCGGAGTCAGTCCGCGATCGAGCTAGCGGGGCAACCCGCGAGCTCGAGACGCTCTCTCTCACTTCACTGCGCCACTACACTCCAGACTTCCACCAGATGCCAATCGGCAACTCGATCGAGAACGTGGTCACCCTGCGGGGCTACCCGCAGAGGGGCCACCTGCATCCCATGCCGGTCAGACGCCTCACGGCTACCACGCCCGAGCCTGACAAACCACAGCCTAAACCAATCACCGAAGCCGAGATGCACATGCACTGGATTAAGATAACTATCTTCGGCATTTTATGGGTGATATTGGGATGTGCTGTGGGCTACATGCGGCAAGGGATGGACGACACGCGTACTACCGGCCCTTCATGGGACCCAGCCGGTACTACGCCCTTTCGCGAATACGTTCGCGAAGTACATGCATGGATAAACGCAACGAGCGGCAATATGACGCCACCTCAGCAAGCTGCAGCACTACAACGTGGCCTTCAAGGCCTTGCTCGTCGCATCGCCATGCAGGTCCCCTCCCAGATCATCAACTATGGTGTTACCGTCAACGGACAACCAACGGATGCAGTTACTTACATACTGTACCTATTGAGCACCAAATTTGAGAATCTGGAAGAAGAGCGCCAGCTCAACTCTGGCACTGCCCTTATCGACTTCCGCGTCGAAAGGGGCGAACGAATCGACTCAGTGTTAGCTCGATTCGAGATGGCCCGTGACGAGGCTAACTCTGTTGGCTTTGTCATCCCCAACTTTCAGATCCTAACGCTGATCCTTTTCAGAGCGTTAGGCGTTGGCGCGTCACGAGCCCAACACCTGCTGGAGCCCTTTAACCATCAGATGCCCAGGACACAAGCAGACTACGATAGGCTGCTGACCAGGATGAGGAACTACGGGCATGTTGCCGAACGCTCTCCTGGCAACATTGCGGGCATCTTCACAGGGCATCACTCACATGCAGGTGTCTACGCCACGACTGCGGGGTCACCCGCTGGTCCTGGCGAGCCAAGTCCCTGGGCTGACTCAGCCGATATGCCCAACGAGGCCACTACCCTCTTAGGGCAGACTGGCCAGGCATCAGCAGAGGCAGCGGAGGCGAACGCCTGGTCGAACTACACGCCGGGCGCCGCCTACACTGCAAGCCCGCCCTCGGGCACAACCCTCTGGGGCCAAGCGGAGTCATCCGCTCAAGGGTCTCAGCCACCCTCCCCGTTTGAATCTGGCACTGACACCGATACCTCATCTGACGGTGATCACAATGGCATAGTCTCTGCTGGTAATGACTATCCAGCCGATGACACTCACCTTTCTGAACAACAAAGAGCGGAAGCCGCTTTTATGGCTTATCGCAAATCAAAACGCCGTTGGAGGCGCTTCATGAAGAAACCGGTCAGAAAAGTGAGACGTGCAGTACGCCGACATTTCAAACGATATGGAAAGGGTCGTGGCAAAGGGGGTCGCAGACGCCGTATGCATGGTAGGGGTATTACTGCTTTCCTCACGTCCTTAACTGACATAGTTTTTGAAGAAGTTCTTATCGGAGGTAAAGGTCGGGGTCATAGGCGGACCTCTGGTAAGGGAAAAGGGCGGAGGGGCAACCCTAGAGACGCTTCTGGCAACGTTATGAAGTGTCATACATGCGGTAGTACAGAACATTTACGCGATCATTGCCCGGAGGGGAAAGGAAAGGGATCCGTACATTTGGCTCAAAACTCTTTTATGGACGACATAGACTATATTGACTACGAGTTTTACATCAACCCAGAAGCGGCTCCCGCCGCGGGCTCCTCCACGTACTACGTGATGGCCCGCTACGCTGATGTGACCGTAGCCTTGGAAGAGTACGCGGTGAACCTCTTCGACGAGTTCCACGGTTGGGACGAGGTCGACGAGACCGCGTTCAATGCTTGGTTCGGTCTTACAGCGGGGCCACCCGCCGGCGACGAGATCTCCGAAGCGGAGACCGCCCCGGCGACCGAGGAGGAGCTCGCCGCCGCGCTGGCACCGCAGGTGATTGGCATGCCGTTGCTGCCAGATCCTCCGCGAGCCGGCTCGGAAGTGGGAGACGCTGATGACGAAATGCGGGGCCATCCCGCTTACTCTGACTCCGAAGAGGACTATAAGGACATGCTCCGAGAGCAGGTCGCAGAAGCAATCCAGCTCCTGAGTGCGCCAGCATACCAGCAGATAACCATGAACGGTTTACTGTCGCGCCCAGGGGCCGCAATGTTGCGTCCATACCTGGATTCGGACATGTCGGCACCACAGATGCTGACAGCACTCCAGATTTTAGCGGGGTCACCCGCCGAAGAGGCGCCAGCCGTAACAGCGGGGCCACCCGCTTGGTCTATGGAGGTATTCATGCAGGGCTGCGACCAAATGGACCTTAACAACCTCACGATGGAGCAGTTAACCGACATCGGGTACTTTAACAGCCCGCATCAGCACGTATTCATGGTCCAGGACAGCTCAGAGGACTCGGAGGACAGGCGCTACGCAAAGAAGGACAGACAACCATCGCCACCCCGAGACCCAGAGCACGGTCGCGAAGACGAAAGGCCCATGGAACGTGGCAGTGCGTCAGCGGGGCCATCCCGCAGGAGGAGCCGTTCAGCTCCACGACGTCCCACACATGATGCATCAGGCTACCCGTGCAGCACGGAGCACTCCGTAGGTGTATCCTCTCAGTACGTGCCGGAGTGGTACATCAATTGGTACCCCGGCTACTCGATGGAGGTTATCCGCCACTGGTGGTCCAAAGAGTATTGCGCCAAACGGGACGAATCTGGCATGATAATACGTACCAAGGGTGGTAAGACTAAAACGCCAGAGGCTTGGGACCGAAGGACCAAGAAACAGGAGATCATCAACGATCGCAAGACATACAGAAAACAAGTATGTCAATGCGAGCCCTTCAAGGGTCACATGCGCAGCTGTCCAATGGACCGCCCCTCCAGAAGCCCTCATCATGGTGAGACCCCTTGGAATTGGTCTCACGGAGATGACGCTGGCAACGTCCACGATCCTAATAAAAGGGTTCCTGGAGGAGGAAAGCGCATCACTGAAGCCGATCGCGTCCCTATGACCGAGGAGGATGCCAATGCGGTCAGGGAAAATTGGGAACAGCTTCCCAGAGACCATCGCCTCA